ATCTCAGTTAGTAAGTAATAATCTAATAAAAATTTATTTCACAAGATGAAATTACTTACTTTCATGAAAAATCATCATCATCTTCAATTTTTGCAATTACAAGATCAGTCATCTTCTTTACTATCTTGTTTTGAGTGATGATAATATATAATTGTACCAGTAAATAAGTTTTATAAGCTATATCAGCTATTCTATTAATATATGCATCAGCTGTTAGATCTCGGATTTCATGTTTGATGAAGTCACCCATATCAAGATAGTTAATTTTGATTCATGTGATATTGTCAACATATTCTTGTGATTCTCCTAATATATTCACTGTGATTCTAGCCAATGATATATGCTCTTTATTTCTTTGATCCCAATTCTTCTTATATCTTCTACATATCTTGTAACGTATACCATTCCAAGTAAATTAATCATCAGGATGATTGCATTTGCATTTAGTAAAAATATCATTTTTTAAGAATTTATTTGTATGTAATTAAGATTTAGGTATTAAACAGTAGCATGTAAGAGATCTTTTATAATATATTTAATGTATTTATTTTATAATTAGTATTAGGATTTAGGTATCAAACAGCAAAGAAGTAACATGCTTTAATGTGTTTAAAATCACATGATCATAAAATTTGGGAATTTAAACTTTAAGTATTATCTAAATTGAATCTAATATGATATATTTATCTAGATTTTTTAGATTTCTTTTACTTGATAGTATACAGGAGAAATGGTATTTAAATATTATATTGAAGATGTATTTATTAAAATAATAAATTTTATTAAAATAATAAATCAGCTTAAATGATTTATATTAACTTTATTTTTTTAATATATTATTAAATATGACCGGATCAAGCTAAGTAATATCCCATGGGTCGGAATTGACAGATCGGAAGCGCCGGTGTCGATCAGCAATATCACGTGGCCCGAACTTTTAGGGGTCGCCCTGGCAGACTCTAGGGAGAACGGTTAAAGCGTAGTCCATCATGTGATCAATCGCCTTAAATTTTCAGAGTTTACTATTAATGATTTTTATGATTTATAAGGTCTGGGTAAGGGTAACGGTTAGGGCAGAGGACAAGATTATATGTAAAATTGATGTCCCGACATTGGTTTTCGAGTAATATTCATTTGTCATATCTTGTGTCGGATTTGTTTTGCCGGGTTGATCAAAAAATTTGCGCATCCCTATTGGACATGGATCACATGATGGACTACGCTTTAACCGCTCCCCAATACGACAACAACAACATTCGTTTCGTTATTGCATTTCATAACTTTAATTTGTGTGTGTAATGTTTTGCCATTTAGAATCCTCAATAGTATCATACGACAAGATGAATAGAATATGACGTTACCTCCCCTTTCATTTCAATGTACCATCCCCTGCTGTACGATATATCTCCCGGGTACAAATCGGATTTTGACGGGTGAAACGTATATTCTAACGGCAAATCACGGTACTGTATTAAATTTATATAAAAAATACCAAATTAAATTCTAAATTACATTAGCGAGTTCTGTTAATGGAATTAATGACGATGGCTCAAAAGAAATGCGAACAGTTTTGGCAGCAATTAAAGCCGAGTGTATTGAATTAAGCAATGGTGCATATAACACTTAATAATTATAAACCAATAATCGTATATCCATGATTGAACTCTAGAAATTGTTCACTTAATCGATTATTATGTAAGAAATTATCTTTGTTCACTATTATTAATATGCATTATGAGCTGTTCTACTAAATTCACAATTGTCAGAACTTAACTCGATCAAAGAGGCTAAATACAATTTATACTGGGAATCAAATCATCTTTCTAGAACGAGCCTGTAATTGAATGGTAGCCCAAATAGTAATTATTACAAAAGCGATGATTTTTTATAACTACATGTAACGGTAGTTCTTTTGAACAGAGCGTGATCATAGCGAAGTTTTAATAAGATGTGAATATAGAAGTGTTTGGTTATATAGAAGATATTATTATACAAGAAAATCAATTATTATTTTTTCAATACTTATTATTATTTTCTTACGTTTAGAGTATGCGTTAAAAAATACATTATGTACAGTATGAATCTTAAGCACCAATGGATAAACACATTAATAAATGCGTTATCCACGCCAAATAAAATTAAATAATCGCGTATTTGATTTTACGTAAATGGTCATTTGATACACAGTAAGATTTTCAGTCAAACTTTGCAAAATTAAAAATACGATGCCGGTAGTTCTCGTGTCATAAGCAACGTCAGACCATATAAAAATATCTTACATGTACATGTACTACGTGCTTATTCTGAAAAATGCTGTGTAACGGACGGATGTATTAAAGGATTAACCCATCATCGGTCGTTACATACCATATCGATATACGTGCACCCCACCTACATGTATTAATAAATAAAGTGTATGATTAAATAGTTAAAAAATAGCTAAAGCTATTTTTTTTTTAATACCTAAAGGCGTGGCATATTAATAACGGAGAATATAAATAAATTAAAAAAAAAAGAACTGACATCTAACTACCTATAAACAAATCAAAGGTGGAATTATTCCTTCTACAAAAAGTACTGTTAAGAAATTATTAAATGATAAAGATCGTTTTCCTTTCAAGTTTAAAATATTTTTGAAATTTAACGTTAAGATTACTGTATCACATACATGTGTTAATGTAACAGGAAAAATCGAGCGGAAAAATTACATGTAACGGTACATAATTAGCAAAGCATTGACCTCACACAGTTTAAGATACGAACCAATAATCGTAATACATACATGTACGGATATTGGGCCAATGCACACTATAAATTACGTGTATAAAATGCAATTCACGTACAATATAATAACATAACGGTAGAGATTTACCCACCATTTTACTATCGTCATTCGTATATTGCTAAGATTTATCTAGTCACTTTCATTTATTATTTCAAATGGGAAACCGACAATCAAAACGACGATACTTCAAACCATCTGCCGAAGGAATTTCTAGTACAAGTAGTGATGAATATTCATCAAGTTCAACAGATTCAAGTTTTCGATATGTGAACGGCCGAAAATTTTATCGAGATATTCCTAATGTATTCCCAGTTGACGAAAAAGAAGCGATACGAAACGAGAAAAAACAAACCATAGCAAGACTTGTATGGCAAGGGAATTTCTCTTCGCCAATTGAAGATCTTTTAAAAACTGGTGGATTAAAAATACTAGATGTTGGGTAAGCCATGCATTGCCCCGTTTTTTATTCTGACTTCTGCCAGTCTCTAATGAATGATCATTTAGATGTGGTCCAGGAACATGGATAATTGAAATGGCCAAAACGTATCCATTATGCACATTCACAGGTGTTGACATTACTCCAATTTATCCCTTAAGAAAACTGCCAAAAAATGTTGATTTCATAGAAGCCAATATCCTTGATGGTATACCACTCGAGAGCGGCGGATTCGATTTTGTGGTTATGCATTTTTTAACTGGCTGTTTCACATCACGGCAGTGGGAATCGACAATCATTCAGGAAGTTGTTCGTGTTATGAAATCTGGAGCATGGTTTGAATGGATGGAGATTGGTATTATCCAAAATCAAGGGGAGATTACGAAAAAATTATCGCAAGCTTGTAAGTCATATCTAAGCGTTTTAATTTTTCTAGGTTATATCTAATATTTTTTTCAATAGTCCTGTCGGCAGTGAAGTCGCAAGGTATGAATCCGTGGTTGTGCGTCGAATTTCCAAAAATATTAGATAATTCAGGAATGTTTATAAATATAAGGCGTGGAGAACGACAAGTTACGTATAGTTCTGCTGCGGGAAAATGTGGCGAATTAGTAAGTGATTTACTAGCATTCATTAATCCATCGTTCGTAAACTATTTTGAATTATTGATTAATCAATTCCAATTTTTTTTATTTAGTCTAAGGAGGTCTTCTTTGAAGTGTTACAAGGTTTGAAAAAACAATCTATGGAATTTATGAGTATCACATCTCACGAATACGACCGGCTACTCAATATGGTACTAGAAGAATTTGAACAATATCAAACATACAACATGTATTATCGGTATTGTGGGCAACGAATTGATGACTAGATGCATGTATAATATGATCACAATTTCTTATTAATTTAATTTCGTAAAGATCAACAAAACAGCCACTATCGCTATGTAGTCTTTACCTTTCACAATTAACGTTAAGGATAAGCATTATATGTATATGCATTTACGCTAATAACGCAACATTTCGTAACTCTATTTTTCTAATATCAAACCTTATCATGATACAGTCGTATCAGCTATTACATGTACATGTATAATGATAAAGCTGCAGTTGTAAGCTACCGCAAAATCTCTGTATAGTGCCCTCCCCTGTAAAAAAATTTATACCTTAATTCAACCTCCATGTTTGTAAATTATTAACTTAAGTTTTTAATAAATTGCACTATGAATTTGAAGTTATTTATTTGCGAAACAAATAATTAATTTTATCAAAAAAAGATGGATTAAATTAAGGTTTGAATTTTTACACCCCCCCGGGGGGGGGGGTACTATACAGAGCGATTTACGGTAATTTCATCTTTGGATATGTAAAGAGGATATATAGAACAAGAACTGTGCACGCGCATTTTGTTTTATATCATTACGGGTTTATAAAACAGTGAATTACCGGTATATGATAAAAAACAGCAAATGATAACATGAAACAACAGTGATGACTATTCAATGATTCATTCTATATCTAAGTAGCAATTACATCTGGTTCGCTAAATCAATTAGCTTAACGTGTAAACACAAGGAAATTGAAACCATTTTAATATTAAATCAATCTAAAATCTCATTGAATATAATAATAATAAATGTACGTACCTGTATCAGATATTAATTTCGACTGATGTAAACCGCATTTGAATGGATTTGTTGTTTTTTGTAGTATGCTTTTTTTGTTTCAATAATTCTGCTTATCTAATTAAAATACTCTTTAATTTCTTCGTCTGTTTTAGGATATAGTCATCTCTCCCTAATTGCCATCTGCTGGGACCACAAAGCTATAAATTGTATTTAGAGAATAATTAGAAAAATTGCATTTATGGAGAACAAAATTGTATAAAGATCTAAAGATTTGGGACCAAGCCAAAGCTTGCATTTAGGTAAAGTTCACTGTATTATCATTTCTCATAGAACAGATAAGTCATTAAGTTCTTGAGCAGTTGGTCTGTTTTCTGTAATAGGATTCCAACAATTTTCAATAATAAATTTAACAATCCGGGAACATTATTTGGCTTTATAGATGATGTCTAATATAAGAGGTATATCTGACTTCGTTCACCAAATAATCGTTTCCCTGTTACAATTTCACATACAACTATTTCATAACTATAAATTTCTGCTGCTTTAGTGTATGACTTTCCATTTAATACCTCTGGATTCATATAAGAAAATGAACCGTAAATACTTTATTTGATCTTTCTTCATCAGCTGAAACAATACGAGGATTATAATATTGATATTTCCAGGATTTAACGTACAAACTTCTTAGGTCAAAGATAATTTCAGATAGATAATTTTTGGTTCAAAGTTTTAATTTTTGGAATCAATATATTTGCGAAGAACACCATCCTATGCTATTTATTTATTTTGAAACTGTCTTTTTAGTTATTCTGTAATGACCATAACTGCAGTTTGAATTTATTGTTACCGTCACAACGAAAAATCTTGTGATTACGAAAATTCTGGAACAATGCGAGAAATCCTAATACATACCGATTCTCACAAATCGTGATTGTTATTCGTTAATATATGTACATACATCTTTTATAAAGATTATAAATTGCATAAAGATTTTTACCTCGATTCACAATTTTCATCTTGATTGCTATATCCTTAATTCAATGAAAATGAAAACTTTTCTTGATTCTTTCGACACATTTTCATTAGGGCGCTTTTTGTTCGTTTTATAATCATGAAATCGTTATTTATTACGATATTTTAAAGCGTTTAAATGGAAAAAAATTATATGATTTTTTGAGCTTAACTTGTGTCTTACCCATTCATAATATCAATATCATTATCCAACACTTGCGAGGCATACGCTGATATTGTAAAATAAAACGATTAATATGGCGTATTTAATAAATTTACCTTCATTTCCTTCGTTTGGTACATATAAACTGATTTGGCATCCATATCGCTATCATACTTTTATTCGTCATCCGTTTAGGATATTCTAAAACGCTGTAGTAATGAAAATGCAGAGTATTCACTTTTCGCCACATGGTTTTTCTGGGTTTCTGATATATTTGATAAGGTCGAAAAGTTCGCGGCAGTTGGTCTGTTTTTTGGACTAGGATAACAATAATAAATTGGACATCCGGGAACATTATTCGGTATCATAGGACGTACTCTTTTATAGATGTCTACTAGAAGACATCTATTATGACCTCGTTCACCAAATTGTCGTTCATCTATTATAATCTCGTACACAATTAGCACTCTGCACTCATTGTGATGCACTCATTGGGAATTAGTGAAATCAAAGGTGAGTGCAACAAAGAGAGAGTGAGAGTAAGACTGAACAATTTACGATCAAAGTGGTTTCTTTTATGTTCTAAAGGTCTTCTGTGGTGATTGTACGCAAATCAACCTTTTTATGAATGGCCAGGATTTGCATCAAGGGGGCGTTGGAGAAGGTTACTGATAACCAGCAACAAAATAAGTTCAAAATTGATATTGAAGAATTTTAAAAAGATTCCTGATCACCTACAACAAAACAACGTGTTTTATTAATGCTATTTTAGGGACAACAACTCAAATGGTTTCAGTTACAGTATACAAAATCGAGGGTTAGACTTAGTTTCTGCCAACAACACAATCAAGTTCGGGTATGGATTATTTATAGTGAAGGTCATTCACTACTTGTATGCAAGGCTTGAAGATAATCAAATAAAAGGAAAAAAATGATTTATTTATGAGTAAAGGAATTATTACAGGTAAGAACGTTAATTTTATTTATTTGATTAGAGCATAGATCAATACTAATTCTATATCTATGCTAGAATGTCCAGTTTACTGTATTTCTGCCAGTAAGTTCCTGCATTTCTCCACAAATTCTGCAAATTAAAAACATCTATCAAATTAGACCACTAAGTGTCTAGATATCGCGTTCCAATTCTTTAATTTTTTTTAAATTTGATCATTCGATTTTTTAATATTTAACTTTTCGATAGATTCTTTTGATCATGCATGCATTTTATCATGTAAAAATTTCGTATAGATCATTTTCATAATGTAAATTGTAAATCATTATGCAAACACACAAATCACGTAATACACCATACGGATTCTGCAAATACTGCATTTGGACACTCTAATCTATGCTATCCAACTCTACGCTAAAACTATTGCTACTAGACAACAAGTGATAATAAAAGAGTATTGGAGCAAACAAAAGCGTGAATCTCAAGAAACATCGATTTAGAATGCTAAACACTATCAATGATGTATATTCTTAAGAAATTAATTGAAATCGAAAAGTCATAATAAGCAAAATTAGATAAACTTACGGAAATCCTTATGCTGTGTAATTACGGAGGCATTATGAACTCACAAATCTCAATGTTACTATATCAAATGTCAGGTGTTTTAATTGTTGATCGTAAATATTAATCATCTAATTACATGTGACGTTTAGTATTATATGTACTATAATTTGAAGTATTACAATGTTCTTGGATGTTAATTAAAATATTAACTATGTTAATGAAAGTCACGAAGCGTTAATTATTCCAGAATTTGTAGTGATACTCTCGTTTAAGGAATTTCAAGGGAAAAATTAAGGAATTACGGAATTAAACGTTATCACAGTAACAAGTGCTTCGATCTTCTGAACCGGTAAGTCCAAAATCACCAATTATAGGTATATTCCAGGTACAAGCCTCTCTCCATGAATGTTTCTTAGATTTTGGTTTTATAATATAAATAACTTATTTTAATTTCAAGTTAATTTTTCATAGTTAGAATTAATATGTGGGCAATCAAAAAAATAAAGCAAAATCTATATTTTATTCCTTAAACTGTCAGGTTTAATTGGCAAATTTGCCCGCTGAAATATTATAAATTCATGTCTGATCTATTTTTATTAAAAATTAAAGTTTCAAAATTTTTTTAAATATTAGATCTACAGTGTGCTACAAAAAAAACCAAATATTTTAATTTTCTCCATAAATATTTATTTAATAATATAAAATTTAAATATAATACATGAGAGCATGACATACAACTTTACTTATGACTACTTAAAAAGCTTATCTTATTAAAATTTATATTTTTATAATTAAATTTTTAATAGTAAAAAAACTTAAAAAAATTATTATAATTAAATTTGATTATTATTTTGTAAATTAACTTAAGTAAACTTGTTTATTAGATTATCAAGCATATATATTTAAAATTTTATGACATTTAAAATTTTATGTAATTTAAATAAATATTCATTGAATAACAAACAAAAAAAGATTTTAATAAAAATTTATTAATTATAAAAAATTTATTAAAATAAGCTATTAAATGCTATGCTTTAGGTAAATTTGTTACTAGATTATCAAGCATATATGTTTAAAATTTTATATAATTTAAATAAAATAAAATATTCAGTTTTTTTGTAACATATTGTAATTATATATTATAAATAGTTCTTTTTATTTTAATTATTATAAAAAAATAAATTTATCTATAAGTTAAAGATATATAATTTTAAAAATATTTTTAAAATAAAAATTTTTATTATTAATCTTTGATAAAAGTTCTAAGCTTTTTTCTTAATCTTAATATAATATTATAAATTATTATATATAACTTTTGTTTAATAAATTTATTAATAAACTCTTATTTTATAATTAATTCTGTGATTTTATTATAAAAATTTTTGAAAATTCTGATAAAAAATTTCTTTATTACTAATTAAAATGAGTATAGTAACTTTTATACTTATGATATTAGAAGATTAATTTTATTAATAAAATATAGATTTTTTTATATAAAAGTTTATATTTTTATTATAGTTTAACATTTTTTTAGATTTTTTCTGAGAAAATTGG